CCCCAAAACCCCAAAACCCCAAAACCCCTTGTTTAAAAATCAATGTAGTTTTTAAGATTAGTATAAATTATTAGAATATTAAATTTTTTAAGAATTAAAAAGATTATTATACTTTATTTGAGAGAAAAATTAATATAGAAATGGGAAACTCTTAGCAAAATCAATAATAAAATGAATCCTCTGGGAATGAAGACTGGAATCTTCTCAATATACAGTACAAGCGTCTTGGGAGTGTAATGGTCAGAGTAGATTCCTCTTCTCAGCAATCATCTTTTAAGGAGAACCCCAGTACAATGAAGAAAGAGATTCATTAATAACAGTAGCAATAGTAGCAGTAGTAAAATCATAATGCAAACAGCAGAATTAATGCGAAAAGTTGCGGGCCAATGATTGAGAATTAAATTGGCAAATCAAGAGAATAGCTGGAGCGCGATAAGTCAGGCAACGTTCGCCTGCAAGTAATAAAGGAAGAGACGATGGATAGCCAGTTCTGTCAAACCTCATAAGTTCCTCTGTATACAGAAATAATTGCCAATAGAAAACAAATCAGAGTATATGTTGACAAAGATGTAGAGTTCAATCTTGAGATTGCAAATGATTAATTAACTTGCGGATGGTTACTCTCAGAAGTGACTAGAAGATACACAGAGGAGCTAAATAGAATTAAGAGAGAAAAAGAGTAAATGATAATTGCTCAAGCTACATCACTTTAGGTTCATAACAAGGAGGTAAATATGCTACAATAATTACAGATACAGGTATCACACAATAAGTCTCCATCTTAGAAATTTACCAGAAAGTTTATTGTAGCTCTTAAAACCACGGATCAGAGAGAATCATTAGACTTCTGGCTTACCTAATATGATCGGTATTGCACATTTGACCTAATATTTGTTTATAGACCTTTAGAAGTAATTGATGACAGTGAATTCCTAATAGCTCATTTTGCTAGTAATTTCCTTTGAGATTAGAATAAAAACTTTTAGAGCTTGTATTAAACAGAAAAAAAGAAGTTTGTAAAAAAGATTTTGAGCAGATAAAAGTCATTGGAAGAGGAGGTTTCTCAAGAGTCATTCTTGTGAGAAAAAAAGATACAGGTCGGCTATATGCAATGAAGATAATGAAGAAAAACAAGATCATCAGAGAAAAGAAACTAAAGCCAATTTTAAGTGAGAGGAAAATCCTTGAAAAATTAAATCACCCGTTCATCATCAAGCTTCATTGGGCTTTTTAATCTGTAATAATATTATAAGTTTTAAACGCATAATTTTAGAATGAAGAGCTGTTTTTTGTAATGGATTTATGCACTGGTGGTGAAGTATTTTTTCATCTCAACAGATTAAGAAGGTTTAGTGAGGAGTAAGCTAAATTCTATTTTTCTGAGATACTTCTCGGAATAGAATATCTGCATAGTAAAAATGTGGTATATAGAGATATAAAGCCAGAAAACATTCTAATTGACATTGATGGTCATATTAGGATTGCAGACTTTGGTCTTTCTAAAGTCATTCCCAAAAGGACAAAATCTTATTCCTTCTGTGGATCACCAGAATATATGAGCCCAGAAATGCTTTAAGGATCTGGTCATGATCGTAAAGTTGACATTTATTGTCTTGGTGCCTTGCTTTTTGAAATGCTCACAGGACTACCTCCATTTTACAACAAAGACACAAATAAAATGTATGAGAGCATTTTAAATCATGATTTATCGTTCCCAGACTATCTTAACCCCTCTCTTATTAACTTAATGACAAATATGCTGCAAAGAGATCCCAATAAAAGATATCAATCTATTTCAGAAATAAAAAGACATTCTTGGCTGAAAGATGTTAAATGGGAAGAACTCCTTAACAAAAAAATTTCACCACTAATCATCCCAAATGTCAAGGAATGCCACATAGATCCTGATTATGTTGAATTGCCCTTAGATTTCGAGGAATCCCAATATAAAGTGAGGCTTTCAACTGAAAGAAGATATAGTTACTATTATGAATCTACTTTACAGTCTAAATCAGTAACTGAGTAATCATTTTACAACATGTTCTTTGAAAAAAATGAAAGTGGGTCAGGTGTTGTAAATCTATTAGGAGGGCAAGGATCTAGTGTTAAGAGTGGAGTAGTCTAAAATGGTTCTACTAATAATCCATACGGCAATTCAGTATAAAGTGAGTAAAGTTAGTAGAGCTAGGAAAGTGGCAATCTGAACTAGATTGGAGGTAGATAAAATAAAAACGTGATACAAGGACTTGAGAATTTCACTTTTATTGATGTTCCTTAAGATGAGTTAGAGATTCAAAAGTAATTATAAAAATACGAGAAAGTATATGAGGAAAAGAGAATGAGAAGCCAGCAAAAGGGTGAAACTAAGGAACAGTAATCAAGCAACTAAAGCAGCCTATAAATGGTCAACTTGTCTCCTTCAGGCGATAAAAATAACAAATGTGGCAATTAAAAGAATTTAAAAAATAGTCTCTCTGATTAAAAGGGTAAAGCACCAACTGATGAAGAGGTTAAATCAAGATTTAGTTACCCATAAGACGAGTCAAACAAGGGATACTTTACTCTATCTAATAAAAGTGGAGTAACCTTTGAGGAGTCAAACTAATCAATTGCTCAAGAGCTGAGGATTAATGAATCTATCGCAACATCATTTGGTCCCAACGGTCAAGTTATTGGAACTAATGTGCCTGGTGGGAGTGCGATTTATAACCTTAAGCAGACTAGCTTGCTTTTAAGTGGGAATAACAGACTTACAATTTAAGAAGAAGAAGATGATGATCTGTAAAGTATGGGAGGATCCTAATCAAATTTTAACGGGATTCATTAATAGTATACAGACAGGTAGAAAGCAGACAACTTCAGCTTCAAGCTTTAGAGTTCAGAAGCTAAAGAATTTGCAGGTCATTCTAACTTTACTCCCTCTAAGATATTGAACGATAACTTTGGCAGTTCAACTGGCAAAAAAGATAAACAAAATAACAGTGTGAATAATTAATTCTAAGGCTAAACAATGACCACAGCAACTTAATCAAGTCAGTATAATGCTACTCAGCACAATAATTTTGGTAATAATGACTTGACTACATCGTAATATACAATTACTAATTATGAAGAGACTCCTAGAATAAGTATAGGCACTAAAAATTCATAGGCACTTCCAAATCCGATGCCCTAATTTGGGAGGTCAGGTTCTTAAGTACAAAATCTCGTCAACAATCATCTGGGGAATTAAAATTAACCTGCTTTTGTATCCCAAAGAAGTCATTAGGTTGGACATAATCTTAAAATCTCAACTTAGCCTTCTCAAAATTTTGAGATTATTGATTCATTTGGTACTGAAAAAGACCATAAAGCTCTTCCTGATAAAACATTTTCTCCCAAAGCGAGTTCTGGGTTTAATAGAAAGAATACGGATGATAAGAATTCCTCAGTGAAAAGAGAAAGAACTGGATCACTTAAGAAAAAAGGTACTACTAAAACAGCATTGAAATAGAAACCATCCCCTTTGATAAAAGAAGCTTTGATGACTTAAAATATTAATGCAGTACATTAAGAGATGTCTTTTTCGAGAATCCCTTCTGTAGGACCCTAACAATGGTCTTCAAATCAAGCTAATGATAGGCCTAACACAAGCCAATAGCAAAAATCTACTCAAATTCAACCTCAGATGAAAAAGTTGACTTCTCATAAGCATAAGCCATCTTACTCGCTTTCACCATCAAATATAATGGCAGCTTAAGCTACCTATCAGTAGCTTCAGAAAGAGCAGCAACTTCAGCACTAAAGCTCAGTCTAACAACAGCCAACCTAGTAACTGATAACGTAGTCTTAGAGTATGGGTATTACCAAGCAAAGTCCTCAACTAAAGAAACTTCCCATTAAGGACTAAAAATCCTCAGCTCTATCATCTAACAAGAATTCAATATCTTAAACCAAAAAAATAATAACTAAGACTGGTACAATTTAAACCCCAGCAGCTTCAAACTAATCTGGTATGAAGTCATTTTTAAAAGCTGCATTGCCTTTAGCCCAGGCCTAATAGTAACTGCAATCGTAAGCAATCTCTTAATTTCAATAAATTGAAGGGAAAACTACAGAGGACACACCAGTTACTATTTAGGATACCTCTTAAGAATTGTAGATCAGTGTATAAGTCCAGCAAGATCCATAGTAGGCCAAGAAGAGTCAGGCGTAGTAAAGAGCATAAAAGTTTAGATCAATGGATATGACCTAGAATCTATTGAAAAAATCGATGAATAACAAAGGATCTGGAGCGAAGAATAATATTGCCTGGAAGTAGCATATCCTACAAATATAGACTAGCTAGTCTCCTTCGAAAGACCAAAGCAATCAATAGCAACAGTAATTCTCTCAGGCATAGAATGAATTAAAGTCTAACGATTCCTAAGTTACAGCAGTTATCAGCATAATCAATAATAAGCAAAGTGAGCTTGAGCCCAGCGATTAAAACATGAAAATGATTCCTTAACTTACCTCAGAGTTCCAGATGAGTGGAAGTTAATTCAAAACTTAGCCGATTCAAAAATCTATGAATCTTAATGCAATGACTGATCATACACCAGAGCGTAGAGAATCGAATCTAAGCATGGACTAGCTAAGCTAGACAGCTCCTCAATCTTAATCATAGTCTGCTTAGTCCAAGCCATAATCTTCCTTAACAAACACTTCAAACAAGAGACAGTCAGATGGCTCGCAAAAGTCCTCTACAAGGACAAACTATAATGCGACAACAACTCAGATGTCACAATCTTCAATTCATGCAACTTAGTAAAACCTAATGTAGTCATTTTAAAACACGACTAATCAAATTGCCTCGATATTATCTAATGATAAGAATAGCAATTCCAATCACAAAACTGCGAACAGTATATTCTCAACACCTAAGGGCTCAAAGGTGCCGAGTGCTATTGCCACTATCAACATTGGTATTTCTCAGACTCATATCGGTAATACTATGCAGCCTACAATTAATACCAATTCAATTTTGGGTGGAATATCCTCGAATGGTCATAACTCTCAAAGAAATAATACTATCACTTAAAGCACTCATAACAATTCTGTAAAAGGATCGGGTTAAAAAATAAACGTAGTGTCTTAAACTTCTACTAACTCGATTAAGACTTTTGGAGGAATCAGTAGAAATGATGGAAATCAAAAGAAAAGCAACACTGCTTAAAATCTAGTAAGTTCCAAGTTCAAGAAAATTTGATTATCAACTCCTTCCTAGAGTAATATTTTAAAGAAACTATATGAACAATTTTAATTTACTTATCTTATTATGCTTAGAAAATTAAAAACTTTACATAAGGGGTTTTGGGGTTTTGGGGTTTTGGGGTTTTGGGGTTTTGGGGTTTTGG